CGCAGCACAAGACTGCTGAGTGTCAGTCCTCCTTCCTAATCAGTGATCAGGCCATTCTTTGACACATAGGGAAAGGTTCTGATGCTGTGCTTGTATAAGTCAAGACAGAGCCACTGATTTCAGCTGGCCAATGCTGAAGTACATCAGCAGAGGAATTTGGGGAAAGAATAACTGAAAGCATAAAAACATACTACAGACTGTATTGAACAGTATCTGGGGTATTAAAAAGCAGGACAAAGACACTGGACTGAGGGAAGAAAGAACAGACTTCAGCATGGAGAGAGAAAAAAGTCCCCAGTTAATCCTCCAACACACCACTCTCCCTCAGCTCTAAGTTTTCCCCTGTGCCAAAGCGAACCTTTCTTGTGCCAAAAAAAAAAAGAAGGAAAGAAGAAATAAGTTAAAACCACCACATTTCATCCCAAGCAGTAGCTTTTGTTAACAGAACTCTTACCAGGTAGAATTATGTTACAATCTTTCACATAATAGCTAACGGCAACCTGGACAGAAAGGTCCAGATGCTTTCAATATTTACTTAAATTCCACTGATTTCATAGTGGAGACTATATCACCTAGGGGATCTGGACCAAAGACTTTGCATCTTATTAATTCTCCAGCAGCAATGGAAGGCTGAACGTTGTGGAGCTGACTGCCGAAGCCAAAAACTATTAACAGGTCCCTCTCAGCCCAGTGTTGTTAGGTTCTTGTTTGCAAGATGTCAGGCAGCTTTCATAGCATAATCTGGCTGTGAAACTCGTATCTGAAAACCCAGCTACAGAGAAAGGGAGAGAAAAACCTTCAGGAGCTCTAATGCAATGTGCTGCTCCTCTCCTCTGCTCATAAAGGAGTTTCACCACCTTTTGCATTGCAAGCATTATCAGCCTACAGAACCAAGAGATTATCACACCAGCCCTTGCTAATGCTGCTCAGGAGAAGAGCCACCCCTGCTGTGTGCTTGGGAAGCAGACAGAGAAATACCCAGCTGCTCGTTTCCCCCTTACCCTAATTGATCCTGTTCAAACTTCAGCTGGGGAAACTGTGGCTCCCTACAAGCAGGTACGGGCAGGCACACACCCAGACACATGAGCTGCCAGAGCTCCCGGAGACAGCTTCCAACCAAGGGCTTTTTTACCTGCATGACTGCAACCGTGCATATAGCTCTTTCCCCCTGCAAAGCAGGCATCTGCTGTGGGAAGGATCCTTCACCATTACTACAGTCATATGCACGGGTCCCTATCACGGCTCAGGGCTCCGCTGTCCTCAGTATTTTATTCTTGAAATAAATAGCGAGCCTGCCCTCCAAAGTTCAACCTCAGCAAAAGCGTCTCTGAAGACAATAGGAAATCTGTTGCCTTTGGGAGCAGAACTAGGTTCAAATATTATTATGGCCTGGAGAACAGGTCAGACACAAAGATTAATTCAGCATACAATGTAGGTTTCTAATACAAATAAATCAATGACTCTAGAAGCACGATAAGGAACTACAAGACAAGAAAATAAAAAAAGAAAGCCCTACCCCTGAAAAATAACTCCGAAATCAAGCACAATGTACAGTGAAAGAACATCTATTTTGATACATTGAAAATGAGCAGACGCTCATTTTAAAATAGACTCATCTTACAATTAGTTTTCAAAATGACTGCCATCTCTGTTGGCGAGAGCACTGAGCTTTGCTATGGCTCAGCAGGAGAAAAGTGTATTCCAAATGAGTAGTCCAAACTATCTGGAGCAGAAATAAATTGTTACAGACTGGCACTAGCCTGCAAGGGCAAAGGGAATCCTGAAAAGACATCAGAATTGCAGAGACCTCAGTGCTCCCATTTAAAAGAAAATGCCTCTAGTTTTCAACTCTGTTTCACTTCTTTTTGGTATCTTTGCACATCTCCCTAGGTACACACAGCGTCCATTACAGAATTGACCGGCTACAAAATCAGCAAAAAAGAAAGGACCTACAGAAAAGAGTATCTTTTCCCCTCCATTCTTTTATAGACCAACTTTATTTGATAAATAGGAGAAAGAGATCCTTTTTTTTTTTTTAAATGACCACTTATTCATACGGTCTTGGCAGATTCTTTTCCTGTGAATTTTTCATGGCCGCATTTGCAAGATAGTCCTCTAAAGCCCGGTAATTGCTCAGTGAAGATGATGATCGCACAATCAAAGTACTGATCTGGGATTTGAAAATAATTTTATCCCTGGCTCTGTGCAGGACTCTTGTGTGGCCTAGATAAGTCACTTAACAACTGCTTTGCTACCTTGGGGTCTACCTGCCCTACCTCATTAACTGTAGTGGCTCTTCTTTGAGAAGTCATGGAAAATATCTGCTACGGATATGCAATAGTAAGTACAGAACATGAAGTTAATTTTGAAAGATGAGGAGATGACACTTTGCCATACAAAATGTTACTGTCGACATGCCAAGCAGTCAGCATGGCTTATGCTCACTTCCTGAATTAACCTCTCAAGTTTCTTCTGTTAAAATCCCACTTAAAACCCACGTGTTCTATGGGATGCTGTGAAGCTACCTTCCACTTCAGCTTTTACATGTTCTTTTTTAATTTATTTTTACTGTACCAACTACCCCTTCAGCCTTAACCTAGCCAACTTCTTGAATAGAGTGCCAGCTAGTGACCTGTACTGTAAGGCACCTCCTACAACACGTTCAGTATGGCATTACAGATGTGGCTCCACAGAGCAGTTGTGCATGGCCAGCACAATGCAGTGATGGAAGAACCCACATTTGACTTCAAAGAACTGGAGCTCAGGAGGGCACAACTCTCCTCGTTTGTTTTGCAATGGTCTCCTATGAGTGACTACATTTTTTTTTTTTGCAGAAGAATAGGTCTGATGAGGATCCAGCAGTGAATGTCAGAGCACACCGACCAGCAGCATGATCTCTGCTGCCCACCTACCCACATAGAGGACGCCCTCTTTCGTCTTTCCTGCCGCTTCTGCCACACCCTGCTTGGTTTTTTCTGCTGCTGCTACGACTCCCTCCTTTGCCTTGGAAAGTCCTTTCATGAACACATCCATGGCTGAAGAATTTATTCACGCAGCTCTAGAGAAAAAAAAGACAGTACACTTTCAGTAAGATTTTTTTCAGCTTTTCATCCCAGAAAGGGAAGAAGACTTCATTCAAACCGAATGGGATCACAATTACTTAAAAGTTATATTATTTATACCCCCATATTATGTAGCTTTCATCCACATCTCTATTAGCAATACACAAACAACTCTCTTGTATGTGAGGTTGCACTCAGTATTTCAGGAGTACAGTTACATGAATCACCTTTACATTTTCTCACATGCTACCATACACAGCAAGTTAAACAGTGCTGCAAGACCAGTTCCCTCAATCCAAGAAAAGCTTGGGGATCCTGTTTCCACCAAATCCTACAGAGAGGTTGCTGATAACACAGCTCTGGTTGGAAGATGGACTCATTGATACAAGTCCCTTCCTTGCCTACCAAGGCATCATTTCCTCCAAAGGACAGTTCTGTTCATGTGCTGATTGCAAGATTTAGCCCCATGATTTGATGATACTCCACCTCTCCTCCAGAGGAAAAAGCCATCTTAAAGAAACACTAGCAACTTCAAAAGGAAAAAAAAAAAAAACCAACAAAAACCCAACCACCTTCTAAATGACAAATGTTCACTTGTTATAAGAAACTGCCATTACAACCCAGAAGGACTGGAGCAAATAGAAAATGCTGCTTTTCCAGTAGTCCAGCATTTTGAGCACAATCCACGTCACTCTTCTGGAAATTGAGTTCTACCGAATGGGTTCTTTGCATTTATCAGGACCGAGAAAACATTTTACTAAAAAGCAAAAGCAAGAATGCAGGATTTTAAAAGCACTGCACTAAAGCTACCAAGCGAGTTCTGTGGCAGCAATACAACCCAGCGCTACACTGAAACTACTAAAATAGTAATTAAAACCAACAAGTCAGGGTCCCTTCAACGAATCCGTTATCGATAGTCCTTTCTCTTCCTCCACCCACACAGAAAGAAGCGCTGCCTGTTATTTTCTTTTCTCTGCCGGAGGCTGAGTAGGAGGAATGGATGTCTAGGAAGGCATCTGGGCTGCTGCAGCTTTCTACTAACTCGTGACGAGCGTGTGAAGAAAGGCAGTATTTGTGCTCCAGCCAAACTGCCTACGGTACCTGTCACCTTGGGGCTGGGGGGGGCGGTGTGCCTTACACACACAGAGACGGGGGG